TGTGGCAAACAAGGGCACTTCAGCCGGGATTGGCGCAACCGGCCTGGAGGCAAGGGAGTGCACCAAGTGCAGGAGGAGACCTCGAGCAGCCCGAGCTCTACGGCAACCACGGTGGCAGCACCCACGCAGCAGCCAGTTCACCCGGCAGCCAAGGCGGTGAGGAGGATTAAGTTGTCTACCCCGCCGACGGCCGCGACCACCGAGTTTTTTGACATCTCCGAGGACACCGTTGCCGAGTTCGCCCTGGAGCCTGCCGACCCCTACTTTGTGCAGATGGTGACCGCGACCACGGCCGAGGACCCACCTGTGAAGGAGGACGAGCCGGCCCTCATCATCCTGGACTCGGGGGCCGACGCAAGCATGGTTCCTTATTCCTCTGGTGGCCGTGGCAGCCCAGCGGGAGGAAGCCCGCCAGTGCTCCAGGACGCCCAGGGCAACAAGATCGATGGAGGCACCCACCGCAAGTTTGACTTTTGGTTCGAGGCCTCCGATGGCAAGCGCTTTGCTGTGCGAGAACAGTGTGTTGTGGGGAACGTTCAGGTTCCCTTGCTGGCTGTGGGGAAGCTGCTGCGGAGAGGGTGGCAGATTATCAACGACGGCGAGCTCAAGCTGCAGGAGCTCAAGCTGCAGGAGCCCTTTGGTCGGGCGGCAAAGGTGGCCTTTCGCCACAACAGCCTGGCGCTGCGAGGCCACATTCGAGCAGTGACTTTGTCGACCCCGTCGCCTGCACCCGTGCGCGCCCTGACCGACCACCCGAGACAAGGAGATCGTCGGCCGCGAGGGGATGCACGAGCTCCCCCACGGCATCAAAGGACACTACGCGCCCAACGCCTTCAAGCTCATGGACGGGCGGGTGTGGTACGACGCCGACGTGTTCTCCGACCGGACCACCCTGGTGAAGAAGACCAATGGGAGTTGGATTCAGATTGAGAACAGCTCCGACTATGCCTATGAGGCTAGCCCGTTTGGCCCCATCGCCAACCGAGGCTGCGAGCGGATCACCCTCTTTCGGATGGAGAGCTTCGGCGAGGGTTTCTTCGATGGCCGGGGCATAGCGCCCAAGGCGAGCACCCGGTTTGCAGCGGAGAGCGAGGATGAGCCGCTTACTTTTCTTCCGCCCCGGGAGCCCGCGACCCCGGAGCAGCCAAGGCAGCCCGAGACGCCGAAGCCGGACGAGCCCGAGGAGACCGAGCACGCCATGGAGACCGACGAGGGCGACTACTTGGAGGAGCTCGCGGCAGGGAAGGCGGTGGAGAAGGCCAAGAAGGTCTTTGAGCGAGCGCCGCGGCCAGTGACAGAGCCACCCGCTGTTCCGAGCGAAGCCGAGGTCAAGGCGCACCGGCTGACGCACATACCCTACGCTAGGTGGTGCAGCGTGTGCGTCAAGACGAGAGCCCGTGGCGACAAGCATGGGTCGCGGAAGGAGGTGGACCGCACTCCGGTGGTCCAGGTCGACTTCTTTTTCACCACGGTCGGCATCGACGTGGACACGCGCATGGTCCTCGCCGTCCCCGGCCCCAACAAAGGAAGGATTGCTCTGAAGCGCTATGTGGAGGAGCTGCTTCGCTTTACCATTGCCCTCCACGACGAGGAGCACATTGTGCTACAGTCGGACGGAGAGCCGTCCATCAAGGCAGTGGTTCGCGCAACAGCCGAGGCCAGAGCAAGCCTAGGGCGGAGGACGACCCAGAGGACCACGCCAACCGGGGACCATCAAGCCAACGGTGCCGCGGAGAGGGCAGTGCAGACGGTGAGGCGTTT